TTTTCCCTTTTCCCTTCCCCCTTCCCCACTCTACATCCCCATGTCCCCACATCCCTACCGCCCACTCGCTGGCCGGCTTTTCCAACTTTGGCCGCTCTTGAGTGTCCCGCTCGGGCGAAATTAAAATATCATAAATTTGAGTTAATTACGGTCGAGTAAACATTAACATAATTGTGTTTCTGTCGTCTCTGGTCGGTCGGCTGGTTGGTCTCTTCCTCTTCTCCCTTCTTGGCCATTATAAGTAGCCCCTGAAGTACTTATTGGCCGGCTTGCTTTGCTCTTGCCTTTCTACTCTCCCATCTCCACTCTCCACTCTCCACTCTGCACTTTCTACTTTCTACTTTTGGCAGGGCCACGCCCCCTTGTCGCCTGAGTGGGCGGGGAATGACTTAAGTTTTTTAAATCGAAAGTTGGAATTGACTGCGGTCTTAATATCCCGCAATTTCTATGGCATTTCTGGAGGAGCAACAGCGGCAAGAGCTTTTCCGCTTGGTTACACAAAGTAGTTAATACTTGTCCCAAGTTTTCCGTTCCTCAACTCGGAGCAAGCAAGCAAATAATGTATACAGAGGTTAAATAGTTAAATAGTGCAAATTATCTAGTTTTAAGTAAGTCATGTAATGAGAAAATAGCTCTGCTTGAGTTAAATCTAAATATGTAGTATAAAGTCAATCTTAACTGGGTTCTAGTCTCCCTAGGATTCATTATCCTCCTCCTGATGATAATCGCTGTGCGGAGATAAATACGATCGGTGTGGAAAATACGCGTTCGTTGGAATCTCAGAGCTACTCGATCTCCCCCTTGACTTCTCCCAAATGATTTCCTCTGGCAATTTCGTGTTGCAGAAGTCGTGTTTTCGTGTTTTACCACCGAGTTCCATCTCATTTCCGGTGCCTCATTTCCTGCCACAGTGCATCCCGGTCTCGGTGCCGATCGAAACTTCAATTACTTGGCGAGTTCATGAGTTGCCAGGAGTTTCATAAGGGAGTGCACCGCTTGGGTTGACTCTCCGCCCAGCAGGTTAATCAATGGCTTTCCACTGTTTCACTGTTTTGCCACGCCCGCCCGCCGCCCGCCGCCCGCCGCCCCTCATCTGTTCCCGATTAAGCGTGTTTTTCCGCTCCTTTTGGCCGGGCAACAAGCAAAAACCTGTCGCTCACACACACACACAACGGGCCACGCCTCTTTTTCTGGGGGCGGGTAAAGGCACACACATGCGTGCATTTGATTACAATTTGTCGCCCTTTCAGCTTGTTCAGCAAACAGTGCGGATGAAAGTGGAATTGGGTGGAGGGGAAAAGTGGGAAAGCGGGAAAGTGGGAAAGCGGGAAAGTGGGAAAGGGGGAAAGTGGGAAATGGGGCTCTGTCACCATGATTGCCTTTCAACGGAGCGCGCGGATGAAGAGGAAGTGCGACGACAGTGGCAGACGGAAGCTGGGGCGGAACTGGTCGGTCGGTCGGTGGGCGTGGCCGCAAGTGGCAGCGCTTTGGCTGTTGCACTCGCCACTCGCCACTCGACCATCGGCCATGCAACCCATTTGCTCCCTCTTGCCCCGTTCGCCCCTGGAAAACACCTCCCCATCAACACCCGGCAATTTCCCTTTGTCACCTGTCACTTTGGCGGCTTCTGATTTCCACCAACTGCGACTCCGAGTCCGCACTGCATTCTTCGGTCGTTTTGGCCAGGTCTTCGGCTCCATTTTGGCCAGGTCTCGACTCTTGAGTTTGCTGAGATTGTCATTTTCGAACAGGAAATACGTTTCGACCACAAGACCACTCTGCACTGGCCTGCTGGCCTGCTGGACTCTTTCAGGACCCTTAGGTTTTTGAGTTTGAGTGCCTCATGGGTGGTGGCTTCATCAATGTTTTTGTTGCCACTTGAAATTTCCATGTTTTCGCAATGTTTTTCATGTGATTAATGTGGCACTTCCGCTCCGAGTGGAGGGATTAAGTTGCTTGAACTGTGTTTAATGGCCGCTGCTCCTGTCTATCCTCATTATTTGTGGCTCGGCCGAAAGAGGATATTCCGCATAATTGTCGCAGGACATGCACTCCAAACACACACACACATACACACTTACACATACAGGCAGACATGCACATACTTTCTCTCCAGGGAGAATACCTTTTTCAGCCCCGCAACGCCGTCGTTGTTACAAATTTGTCTTTGTGTTTTTGTTTGCACATTGCACGTTGCCATGGCTAGCGACATTATTATTGCCCCCCTCCCCCACCCCCTTTCGAGCCAACCCCTCCCCCAGCCACCTTAAATCCCGCCCATTTTGTTTGGCATATGCCATTGTTGGTGTTAGTGTAAATAACAACAACAGCAACAACAACAACAACACCAAGTGCAATCCCGACTCTTGCAAAAGCCAAACAAAATCTGCATAAACAAACACATACACAACACACATAAACAAACACATACACACACAGCACACAAACACATAGAGAAACACACTGTTGCAAAAGGGCATTGGCCAAGCGAAATGTGTGTGCTGGTTGCTTTTGGTTGAATTATTAGATTGCCTGGAAAAATTGCTTTGGCCCGCCGCCTCTGTCACCGGACTTTTCCCTTCAGCTTTCCCAGTCAGTATTCCCAGTCAGTTTTCCCTTCGTTTTTCACCACATTTCCCCTTCCAGCTGAGCGGCGGCGGCGGCTACGGCAAACTGACAAACAAAAGCTGAGCCGAGCTGCGTTGGCGCCTTTTTGCCAACTTAATTACTTTTGAAATAGTTGAGCGCACACAAACACATCGCTCGCTCGACTGACAAGCGGTGGGGCGAAGAAAATTCACCAGCAGCAGCAGCAGGGGGCGTGGCTGGGTGGCTGGGCTGGAAAATGGAAAATGGAAAACGGCCGCCTGTGGGTATAATGCATATTTCAGCTGCTGCCTTGGCAACCGGAAGTCGGCTTTAATGAAGTTTTACAAGTATCCGTTACTTGCGAGTGGATACTCAATGCACTTCGGACCATTTCGCATGTGTGTGTGTGTGTATCTGTGTGCTTGTGTGTGTGTGCGTATTCCCAGTGCTTCCGATCAATAATTATTTCGGAGAGCTGCTTTATGTATTTATGAATGCATTAGGGCGTCATTAAAACAAGTGCCCGGCAACGGGCAAAGTTTTCCGTTTAATCACTTTGCAACATTTGTCCGTTGGCTGAGTTTTCCCCTCTCGCTGGGATAAATGCATTTCAATTTCGTTTCCCATTTCTGTTTCTAACAATGGAAAACTTTTTAAGTGCTACCTGCATTTCATACATGAAACGAGTATGCATTTTTGTCAGGTTTTTTACATTTTCGTGATCGTCTGAAAGACGTGCACTGTAATATCCTCAGTTTTAACAAGCTCTATTAAGTCTTCAGGCAACTTGCAACTCGCAACTCGACTTCTGAGGGATCATTTTTCAGGCAAGTGCCTGAATGAGTTGGTGAATCAATGACTGCACTCGCTGGATTCCCCGAATCACTTGCCTTTCAGCCCAACGCACACGCGGAAAAACAAAAAGTGGGCGGAAGGGGAAAAAGGGGAAAAAGCGGAGCGGAAAAGTCTGCTCCACTTTGATTGTAAGCGCGCGCGCGAAAAAAAAAAAACATTGAAACAAAACCTGGGACTTAAGCCGCTGGATTTTAGCTAGCTGAAAGGAAAAGGACAGATCAGGGAAACTCCCATTGTTGCTGGTCATAATTGGAGAATGGAAATCTCGGGCCGCCGAGCAACTCGCTTTGATTGCAATCAGCGCCGCCATTGTTTCACAATTCTGCCACGCCCCTCGTTTCTCTCCCATTTCGCATTTCCCCTTTCCCCCATCGCCTATATATCCCGCTCCCTATTCGCTGTGATTCTCCAATTGTCTATGGTGATTATCCCTTTGATGATTTTCGCAGCACTGTGTCAAGTGGCGAGTGGCCGCACTGAGCAAAAAACCATTGAAAAACACGTAAAATATTAAAATTTCTATATAAAAAGAATTAATTTGTGCAGAATTAATTTGTGATTTGTGTAAATATATTGCATATAAGCAGTGTGAATTGAATTCGGAACCCCGGAATACTAAACAAAGTAAAAAGTTTGAACAAAGGCTATCCTTTATCTATATCGTTTCTCCTGATCAAAGTTCTTTCCTCCTCTTTCTCTCTCTCTTTCTCTCTGTGCACTTTCTATCCTTTCGCACTTTCGCCACAATGGCGTCAATCAATCAATGTATCAATTGATATCGTTATGCATAATTTGCCCGGACATTCATCATCGTTGTGGGCCGGCAGTCGGCCACATGGCTGCCCCTGTCATGTGGTAATGAAGCATTTAAGCAATCGCCTGGACTCAGCACTTGCCACGCCCCCACCCAGCCAGCCGCCTTGCTCTCTTCACGCCCCCTAATGACGGCCATTAATTGTTCTTTGGCTGCAGGCTGCCGGCTGCCGGCTTCACCTTCCCGCTTCTCTGTCTCCCGTCTCTTTCTCTTAATCTGTCTCTATCTCGCTCTTACATTCACCCAGTATCTGCCAAACGATGTGGCATCATTTTTTATAGCTTTGTCACGGGATCGGGATCGGGTGGGGTAGGGTAGGGTGAAGGGGGAGGCTTAGAAATGTGGGCTGTGCCTGTACAATGTGGCGTATGATTAATGTGCCTGGGCATGTCTTTGTCTGCTGTTTGCCGCTGTCTTGTCTTTGGCTTTGTTGATGCCTTTGCCTCTGCCTCTGCCTCGTTCTTTATATCACACAGACAGAAACAACAAAACACTTGTACCACACACACACATACACCCCCATCGCACAATCTACACACACACTCTCGGATGTCAGGCATTACGCATACGCATTGTTGGCATTGCCAAAATGAGAAAATGTTCGGAATATCTCCTTTTCTCTGTGACAATGACAACTTGTTACTTTCGGACCAGAGAGAAGGATAGTCAATTGACCGCCAGAAATTGCAAACTAACCGCTGATCTCCCCTTTCTAATCTTTCTTCTTTACTTTGGTTTTCAGGCCGCCTCGCCGCGATGGGAGCCCCAGATTGCCGTTCTCTGCGAGGCCGGACAAATCTATCAGCCGCAGTATCTCTCGGAGGAGGGACGCTGGGTGACGGACCTCAGCAAGAAGACAACCGGCGCCACATGTTTGCGTGATAAAATGGATTTGCTTGATTACTGCAAGAAGGTAAGTGTGTGAGCTTTCTGCTTTTTGCTGCCCCTCTTTTTTATTTCTGCTCTCGCATTTGATTGAATTGAATTGCTGCTGCTGCAGGGGGGGACCAAAGCCAAAGAGAAGCCGCATGAAAAATTGCAATTTCCATTGCACTTTGCATATGGAAAAGTTGCTCGGCCGCTTCTTTTGCCTCGTTGAGATTGCGCATACGCCATGTGGTCAATGGGGTTGGGGTTGGGGTTGGGATTGCTGAATTGGGTGATGGGGGGGGGGTAGAAATGTAATTTTATGGCCCTGGCTAACGCTCGACTGAGCCTCTAGAATGCAGCAGTCGACGAACTACTGGGTGCCATACAAAATACAAAATAAAAAACAAGAAAAGAAATCAAAAGAAAAGAAAAGAAAAGAAAGGAAAAGCGAATAAAACCTCGGCAAAAGAAAACCAATAAATCAAAAGCAGCCACCGAGCGAATGGGAAAAGGGAGCGAGGCTCGAGCTATATGCTCCTGCTATATGGCATCAACAATTTAATTTTCGCTGCGTTGAAAGCGTTTACATTGAGACAACATTAAACGACACTTAATTAATTTTCCATTAATTTTCGCTTTTTGCATTCTGCGGGACTTCCCCCATCCCCCAACCCCGTTTTCCGTTTTCCATTCCCGTCTGCATCACCATCTTCATCCCCATCCCCATCCCTTTTTGCATCTGTGTATGAGTGTGTGTGTGTGTGTGCATGGATCCCGTATCGGTGGCATGGCGTCCTGTCCTTGCCGTCGCCGTCATAAATTGGCATTCCATAGTCAACATTTTGTCCTCCGTTCCATTTCCTTTAACTTTTTAATTAAATTTTCCTTTTGCCAAGCGCGAGTCGCTCGCTGGCTAATGTGAGCTTCATCTCCTGCTCCTCTGCTGCTTTGCTGCTCTGCTGCTCCCTGGATTCCCTGCTGGATTCTTGTTGTTGCATCATCATCAGCCTCGTCAAATGTTCAATAATAGTTCATAAATATTGACATTGCATTGGCCCCCAGTTTTTCCCTCCCTTCCCGCGAGCAAAATGTATTGGGAGCGACATGTGGCAGGGCGAGTGAAATCAGATCACAGCCAACAGCCAACAGCCAACAGCTGTCCATGTGTTTGCGTTTGTTTTCGCCCTGCGCGCCCGCGGGGGCGGAAAAAGTGTATGGCAGCTCGGATTGGGAGCAGCTTAAATAAATCCGATTGCAGCTTTTATTTCAAATTTAAAGAGCCAGAATATTAATCACGACATGGACACCACACCACACCGCTCAGCTCAAGGAGTCGGAGGGAAATCGGTCTGCGCCATCGGTTTGTAATAAAATTACACCGCTTTGATGTTCATTCTGAGCACTTGGGCTTATTGGATTAGGATTTGATTTGCCCCTGAATGGAACTGGGTGAAACTGAGTGGCGAGCTAAGTACAAATACGCGCGATAAGGTAAAGGAATGCTCTGCCAGAAAAAGCAACAAAAACTGCTTTAAACTTCTTGATTTAACTTCGGGAAATTCTTTGACCCGTCTATATGTCGAATTATGTTATTATAACCTTATAAAGGTTGGCCTTCAAAGATCTTGTTAATATTGTTGCTTCGGGTATAATAAATGATGCATAAACCTGCAGTCTGGAGTGTGCTGGAGTCGCAGTTCAATTGTGGCGCCGTCGAGCTGTTTGCTCAGCCAGTGTCATGTGTTTGAGATGTGGTTTAAGGCCAGGTCGAGTGGGGTCAGGTCAGGAGTTGGAAGGGAGCCGAGACCCTTCTGCCTTTGCCCACTCATCGCCGGCGTCATTACGATCATCTGTATGCAAATAATGAGCCCGGCAAGCTGTCAAAACTGTCGCATTTGATGCTGACATGCAAATTTCACCCTCCCGAAACTCCTCCCAGAATTGCGATTCCGATTCTGATTCTGGTTCTGAATCGAGTCCTCGGCTGTCGCCTGCAGTTGCTGTGTTGCCGCAGCATAAATCGAAATAACACACACACACTCCGCACACACCGCACCGCACCCACACACACACACACACACACACACACACACATGTATGATGTATGTAAATGACAAATATTGTATTGGTTTTTCATTTGCATTTTGTTTTCTCGTTTCGTTTCGTTCCATTTCATTTCATTCGGTTTTTCTTTGGTCGCCTTTTTTTTGTGTGTGTGTGTGTGTGTGTGTGTGTGTGTGTTTTTTTGTTGCTTTTTTGTGGTTTTTTTTTTTTTTTTTTTTTTTTTTTTTTGTACTCTTTGTGTTTGTGTGCTCACGTTGATATTTTATGTAATTCTCGCTGGCGCATTTATTCGATGTCGCCTTTTTCTGCTGCCGCTCACACATTTTATAATTATGGTAATTTATTTATTATGCTTAATTTACGTCGGTGGCAATGTTTTTGATGTTTCTGCCCCCGTTCGGGCCGCAGGCCCCACTGAGTATAAAATCCAATAAAATCGTAATTAAGCTAAAGAGCCCGCAGCCGAACGAACGAATCGAATGGATGGATGGACGGACGGACGGACGTGTGTGTGTGTGTGTGTGTGTGTTCGCAGTGTCGTTCGTTCGTTCGTTCGTTGGCTTTAAGATGGCTTAGTCGGGGCCACAGGGCGTATGCGTAATCCCAGGTGAGGGCGCCTTTTAATAAGGCATTTGTGTCTGTTTAGCTCCGAATGGCAAGCGAACGAATTAATTATGATTTAACTAAGTTGAGAGTCCACCTACATAAACATGAATTCGAGCTCTTGGTGCTGCGATTTGAGTTACTACGGTTCACACGGCGTATACGTGACGTTGGCTAGCTGACCAAAAAGGGCAGCTGACCACGCCCACCACCATCTACTTCAGCTGCACGCAATTTCCATCCGCCCTGATGGCTCGAAAATCCTTCAAACCTGCGCTGGTCAGGAGAGGCCACCACTAACGAAGGACCCACCCACTTCTCGTGCCGCAGCAAAGGGAAATCTTTTGGGGGGCAAAACCCAGAGCTCGTTGCCCGTTGCTCGTTGCTCGTCGCTGGGAATTCAAAACCCAAAAACGCCACCCAACCCCCTCCATTAATGTCAAGCCCCAGTGGGCGTGGCCTTAACGAGGGCGGCACGGGGGGATTCGCACCTTAAACATTTCGCTCCCCCGCAATTTCGGCTATTTGCATGCAGTTTTTGCACTCACTTGATTCCGCAGCTCTTCGCTCTGCGCAAATAAATCACGCCAACACTTTTCCACCCGACGACCATTTCTGCGTTCTGTTTGGCTTCACCTTGACGCTGGCCGCGAAAGAAATTAATTAAAAGCGCTTTATTGTCCTTTTGTCCGGCTGCCCAGCTGCCCGACTGCCAACCTCCAACTGCCAACTGCCAACTGCCAACTGCCCGCGCCAACATGTTTATATTTATTTATATCATTTTTTCCCAATTTGCCGCCGCCGCCCTGCGCTGCGTTGTTTTGGTTTTGTTTCATTTGGTTGAGAGGAAGCCAACCCCCGTCGGATTCCGCTTGCTCTGCAATTCAAATGGAAATTAATTAATTTGGCTCTGTTTGCGCTGCGGTGTCAGGCTTCAAAATGTTGACCCATCTGCTCGTAGCGGAGCAGTTGAGTTACATGTGCCTTCCGATGGGTTTCAAGTTTCCCCGAAATTCGGCGAAGTCCTCGTATAATAATGATAAATGGGCGATGAGTGGCCGTCTTTCAAAAATACTCCACTGCACTTTGCAGGCATAAATCGCAGCCAAATTCAATTAACTACACTCAATTCGATCCGAGAGGGGCAAAGGGACTTGGATTTGGGTTTTAGTTTGGGTTGAGGTTGGGGTCGGGGGACCTGTAAGCTCATTTAATGGAAAATCTCATTAGGTGACTGGACGGGGGCCACGCAACCGCGGACCAGAACGTTAATTAGGAAGGCTTGTAATTGAATATCCCCAAAAGCGTTTCCCCAGAGTACCATGTGTGTGTGTGTGTGTGTGTGTGTGTGTGTCTGTGTGTGTGTCGGTGGCCTCTCCTTTGCCTGGATAATCAAGGACCCTTTGCCGTGTCCGTTTCCATTTCTTGCACTGATTCTGCCGCATCATCCTGCGCTGATCGCTCAATTAAGAGGAGTGTTTGACGCTCCTCCCTCTTCCCCGCACTTCTCACCCCGCCCCTTCACTTCCGGCTCAATCGATTACGGCCAACTATGCGCTAATTATGCCCTGTCAGCCCCTCAGTCGCATCCGCTTCAAGTGCCAACTCGGCGGCCAAACGGGTTTCCACTCGGAAAAAAGCCAGCCAACTTATTGCAAAAAGATAACCACACTTGAAATCCGTTTTATTTGATGTGCAAGGAAAAGTGTTCCTAAGAACATAGCCAGCTGGTTCTGTAACCTCTTCAAGAACTGTTTTATTTTTTCAACAATATGATCCCACTTTTTGCGAGTGTAGCGGAGTCGTGGAATTATATATATATATAGACACGTCGCTTTAAGAGCTGCACAAACACACCGCAGCGAGTCAATTGCACAGTGGCTGTTGTTGTTTGTGCATAATTGCACCGTTTGAAATAGTTTGCGCATCATTTGAGCCACAGAGGCGCCCCTTGTAATTGCCACTGACCCATCCGCATCCGCATCCGCTTCTGCATCCGCTTCTGCATCCGCTTCTGCATCCGCATCCTCATCCTCATCCTCATTTTGATGTGATGATGCCACTGACAGGTGAACAGATTGGCCACTCACCGTTGAAGGACATGAACGAAACGAAACTATATTTACGAGACCCTCCATAATGGCATCGCATTGAAGCTCACTGAGCTGGCAAAAAGTAGTTTAGTCGCTAAATAGTTTAGCCTTCCTTCCCTTCAGTCCTTCAACCCCCCCCCCCCTCCCTCATATCACTTGTGATATGGCTAAATATAGTTGGCCGACCCAAACGAATACACACACTCGCCCAGATAAAAGAGACACACAACAAATGGGCTCGTTTTCGCCAGCTAAGCCGCTCGCTTAAATGCCTGCAAAATTG